AATCATTTAACAACTTATATGACAAAGCGTAATTCAAAATGGAAATGCATGGACATTCACTATGTCATTTCTTACTTTTCATGTGCTCCATGATCGTTGTTGATAGTTCATTCAGGTAAGAATTGGTAAACCTCAGCAGCAAAATCTGAAAGTTAACTAGTTTTCATCAACAATCGCTAAATGAAATATTTTGGTCAATTATATGTTATCGATTTTTAAAATGCAAAAATGAATAGTTAAGTATAGTTTCATTAAAATAATAATTTAAAAAAAATGTTTTATATGACCTTAAGTGATCGACTTATTGTTTTACCTTGGAGTGTTACAGAAAACGATCTACTAGTGTCAGTGAGACAGACCTCTCTTTAAGACAGCAAATGACAACCCTTTGGTTAAATTAGTTGGTTATTATATGATTTCTTTCTTATCAATTTACTAAACACCATCTTAGCACATTTTTTTACCCTTTCTTTCATTGCTATTTCCCCCCTCTGACTTGCACTGTGTGATTGTCAAAGTCTGTACTGATAAGTCGTTGAGAGATCAACAGTTTATTGGTATACAGACCCCCGGAGAGGGTGAAAAACTGAAAGTACAAAATAACAATCATAAGCATACTATTAAGGCAACACTTATACAATAAATGTCAAATAGTAGTACATTCACAAAGAAAATGGTTATACAGTTCAATACAAGTAACTCTTGTACACTACACTTCGAAATACAACATAAATATATCAGAAAAAAATTGCACACACGTATCTAAATATGCAAGAAAATTGAAAGTTTGCATTTGTCATTGACTGTACTCTTCATACCACGCACGATATAAATTTTACACACGTTGAGACTGTGCGGGACTGTATTTCTAGAAAATTCGAGCGTGACCCTTGTCTACATCAATAAAACACAAAAAATAAATCCTAACATGTGGGATTGACAAATAATGAATGGAATTTAAGGGGGAAATGCATACATAAAAAATACAATCAGTACTGTATATTCACAGCAGCAATATTTACTCATGTCGTGTGTAAATGAACACCAATAATCAAATATGAAGATGCATAAAATGTATAATTAAACAATATGCACAACGATATAAAAAATGAGCACAAATATAAAAGGTTAACTTACTCTAGTGGTGGATAAAACTTCCAAGTAGAAAAACAACGTGTTTCAGTTTTGACAATAATCGAGGGATTGATGAGACTGGGGAATGAAATGATAAGAAAGGGACGACATGGTCAAGTCGGCACTTAGTCAAAACAGTACACTCCTCCTCTGATTTCTTTATGAAATCACTACATTTTCAAAATTAAAAGATAATGTCATATGACAAATTAACATGTGTTTCCCTAACAATGTTATACTAATTGTTCGTGTATTAAATATGATTGAATAAAACACAATGTCACTATTATAGTCAGTCAGCTTCAAGGAGAGTAACCAATTCGGTAATTGGTCTGGAATAAGTTGTGCGCTTTCCGTCTTTGACTATGGCGACTTCCACTTTACGAATTTTGCCATCCGAGCTTGGAAATACCCTGTCCACAAGTCCTACGGGCCATGAATTACGTGGCGCATCCTGATCTTTCATGAGAATTAAGTCACCAACTTGTAGATTACGACGGTCAGTTTGCCACTTTGTACGAATCTGAAGTTCATGAAGATATTCGGATTTCCATCTACGCCAAAACTCTTCTGCTACTCCTTGTGCGCATTTCCATTGAGCTTTCAACATATCCTTTGGACCGAATAAAGGAAACGGTTTCACGTCTGGTGAAGTTTTCATCGTAAGAAGTGACGACGGACTCAAAATACTGGGACACTCTGGATCAGTCGAAACTGGTAGTAACGGTCTATTGTTTATGATGGCCATAACTTCAGCCATGAGAGTAACAAGCACTTCGTGTGTAATTGTCCTACTTTTGTTTTCCAATAACAAGCCGTCGAGTATCCGACGAGAAACACCGATAAGTCTCTCCCATGAGCCGCCCATATGATGTGCATATGGTGGATTGAATTTCCAGGTAGTTCCGGATTTCAGTAAGAATTCCTTGATTGGTCCTTTTTCGACAAATTCAGGGTCAATATTGAGCTCTGATGTTGCTCCAATGAAATTAGTTCCTCGATCAGAACGAAATTGTATGATAGGACCTCTAACTGCAATTACGCGTCTCATAGCGTTGATGAAAGACGAGGTTGACATGTCTTCTATCACTTCGATATGCACAGCGCGTGTGGTCATGCATGTAAACAGTAACGCCCAACGTTTCTGGTTTGCTGAGCCTCCTCTAGTTTTACGAAATACGACGGACCATGGACCGAATGTGTCCACGCCGACATAAGAGAATGGTGGACATGGGCTAAGTCGATCTGTTGGGAGATCGGACATTTGTTGCCATTCAAGTTTTCCTCTGAGCTTCTTACAAATTATGCACTTGTTGATGAGAGTTGAAATAGAACGTTTTGCACTAATAATCCAATAGCCTCCGGCACGGATGGCCCCTTCCGTCAACTGTCGGCCTTGATGGTGTATACTTTCATGAAAATGATGAATAATAAGTGACGAAACATGGTGGTTCTTTGGAAGGATCACAGGATGGTGCGACATGTCTAATGAATCATTTACAGGAGCGTGTTTGAGCCTTCCTCCTACTCGTACGAGTCCATCTGAACCTAGTATAGGAGACAGCTGAGCCAACTGGCTTTTTGATGTTATGCTTTTACCTTCTTGAAGCAACTTAATCTCGTCGGAAAAGGCATCCTGCTGAACTGAACGTAGTATTAAGTTTTCAGAGTCTCTTAGCAGATCGGGCGAAATAACTCCGTCTTGGTGCAGTTTCTTACGAATTACCGATTTTATAAAGGCAATGCTTCTAACGAGACGTGTCCATTGAGAAAACCTGTCGAATCTACTACATCCTAATGAAGTTTCATTGCATTCGATTTGGAGTTCTGTTTTCTTACAGCTAACTGATGGACGAATTTCTTTGTCATTTTCTGGATCTACTAGTAAGTGATCGTGTTCATCCTGTTTGTTGTTAGTCAAGAGCATGTCGGGGCCCTTTATCCAAAGGCTCTCTGGAAGATCTATCGTGCTGATGGACCTAGTAGCCAAATCAGCTGGGTTTTCATTGGTAGACACATGAGACCACTGATTAGGTTGACATGAAGAACGAATTCGACTGACTCTGTTACCAACATATATGTAGAAGCGTCTTGTTTCGTTTGTCAGATATCCAAGTACTACACGACTGTCTGTATAATAATAAAAATCATCTGGGTTGATATCTAATTGATCTCGAATAATGTCGGAAAGCTCTGCTGCTAAGACTGCAGCACACAGTTCCAGACGGGGGATTGTGTGTCCGTGAGACGGGGCAACTTTGGCTTTTCCGAAAAGAAAGCTAATGTTAACAGTATTTGCACTATAAAATTTAATATATGCAACAGCTGCAATTGCATCTTTAGAAGCGTCTGAGAATATGTGAACCTCTCGTTTAACACTATTGGCGAATGAAGGTCCATTGTACTTTCTTGATATACGCAAATTTTCAAGTTCGCTCAATGAATGTACCCACGATTCCCATTGCTGATTCAGTAATTCTGGAAGTGGATCATCCCAATCAATAGTAGATGAAGATGAAAGCATTTGACGCATGAGTAATTTGCCTCTAATGATAACTGGTGCAGCAAAGCCAATTGGGTCATACAGACTGTTGATTGTTGAAAGAACTCCGCGGCGTGTAAATGGCTTGATGTTGGAAGACACACTAAAGGTAAACTCGTCCAGTTCTGTGTCCCATGAGAGACCTAAGCTTCTCTGCATCGGGAGATCTGCCGATCCAAGGTCAAGGTCCTTGAGATTTTTGGCAAGGTCATCTGAATGAAATGCTTCTAGCACTAACCTGCTGTTAGATGCAACTTTATGCAATCTAAGTCTACCGTTTTCGTATAAAGTTTTCTTAGTTCTTTGAACAAGATCAATAACTCCCTCTGGAGTTGCACAAGAGGTAAGTCCATCATCTACGTAAAAGTCGTTGCTAACAAAGTCTTTCACATCAAGTTCAGCGCATTGGACAGTTCGTCTCAGACCATACGTAGCCACTGCTGGGGACGGACTGTTTCCGAAGACGTGTACTAACATCTGATATTCTGTAAGTGGTTTTTCAAAATCGTTGTCCTTGTGCCACAGGAAGCGCAAGAAACGTCTATGTTCATCTATGACTCTGAAGTTATGAAACATTTGTTCGATATCAACGGTAACGGCGTAAGCCTCTTTCCTAAAACGGAGTAATATTCCAAGAAGGCTGTTATAAATGTCTGGACCTTTCAACAAGACGTCGTTCAAAGATAGTCCATGATGTTTTGCAGAAGAGTCAAAAACTACTCTTACACTCTCTGGTTTCCTCGGATGATACACTGCGAACATAGGCAAGTACCAGCACTCAGTACCTGGCGATAGTTTGGGTGCTATCTGGGCATGTTCTCGATCAAACAGTTTCTGCATAAAATCTAACACTTGTGTGCGCTTTACGGAGTTGCAACGTAAATTCATATCAAACGATTTAGCTCTACGCTCTGCAATTTGTTTGTTGTTTTCTAAAGAAGGTTTGTTGGGTTTAAAAGGTAGTGGAGCGATCCAGTGTCCATCATCTTGTTTGAAGAATCCCGATGACATTATATTCAAAAAGGTTTGATCCTCTATTGACACACCTTCCTTTTCGTCTAGTTTAGTCTTGTCGAAGATTGGGTCTAATTTAACTGACATCTCGCTATCACACGGAGACAATAATGTAGGTCGTCCGTTGCCTAAGATTACAGTTATGTTTACATTAACTACTTTTTGTCCATGAAATCTACCAAGACATACATTGCCTACAATAACCCATCCTAAAGGTAAACGCTGTGCATACCGTACTTCGTCAGCTCCAACACGGTGTTCAATAACATGGTGTGCTCTAATAAGGTCACGGCCTATTAACATCTGTATTTCAGACTGATTGTCAATGTCAGGAATACAACTTGCTATGTCCATCATGTGCGGATAACTTAAAGCTACAACAGATGAGGGTATTTCCTCCCGATTGTTTGGAATGTCATTACATTCGATTATTTCAGGTACGTTAAGACAGAATGATCCGTCAAGCGACGCTAACACGTATCCGGAAGCTCTTCGTCCACTAGTAACGAACCTTCCTGCACAAGAAGCAAGTACATATTCGGTTTCAGTGTCGTTTTCTCGGAAGAAGTTGAAGAAATCTGACGTTGCTAAAGTCCTGTTACTTTGGTCATTGATCACACAGTAAACAGTTTTGAAATGATCTGGTCTATCAGAGTGATATACTTTGGCGAGTACTATCTTAGCACATGATTTACTGGTATTGTGTATCGAGTCACATATTTTGGTGCATTTGCTGCTAATCTGTTCCTTAGAATTCTCCTCCTCGTGCTTTTTCTGGGGTTCGGCTGTAATATCTACATGTAAGGCTGACGGATGGTCACGAGAACAACACACACTGCATTTGACATCCTCTTTACACTTGTCACGGAAATGTCTCTTAGGTCCGCAACACTTGAAACACAAACCTTTCTGCTTAATTAAATCAAGTCTCTCTGATAATGGTTTAGCACGGAAACCACGGCACGTGTTAAGTGTATGATTAGTTCCATGGAGGGGACACAAGTCCTCATTTTGCTTCTGAATAGGTGGTCTATTAACACTGTGTCCAATGTCGGTTTTAATGCTTGAAACTTGCGCAGGACTTCGAAAACGATTTTGTACCCTCGTTTGTCTAGATGTGGTCGGTTTGGTGTCTTGATTGTCATATAAAAATCCAGGGTCATTACGCACTTTAGCAATGTTTTGCAAGAATGGCACAAAGAAGGAGAATGGCGGATATACTCCATGGTTTTTTGACTTATAACCATTGGCAGTAGTAGTCCATTTTTCTTGAATACTGTAAGGTAATCTGGTTACAAAACGATTCACACCTAGAGACGAATCAAAGTAAGCGAATGTGGTGGCAAACTTTTCATCTTTGCGAATAGACTCGATCTCAGCAGCTAAGTCCGCTAACTCGTAGAGTTCCTTTCGGTTATTGTTTGAAAGTTTCGGGAAGTTAACTATACGTGAGTGAAGTGACGACTCTATCATCTCTGGACTACCGAATCTAGCATCTAAGCGTTCCCATATAAGCCACACTGCAGTATCCGGATTATTGGCATTAGCACATCTAATGTTCTGAGCATGCTGTTTTGAGCTTGGTCCCAAATACTTTATTAGAAGGTCCAACTGTTCCAAAGGATTTGTATCTAACTCGGTCATTATGTGTTGAAAACTAATTTTCCAAGATGAGTAATGTGAAGGTTGGTCATCAAATGATATGAGCCTAGATGTAATCAAGTCTTTCTTTACCATAAACTTGGCCAATTCTTGTGCTTCGTTCCTCTGGGTCGGAACAAAAGGTCGTGCTATTGGATTCAATGGTCCTAAAGAATGAACAGGAATGTTAACACTGTTTGCTTGAAAGTCATTTTCGGTCAAATGAGAAGCATGCTGTGAGCGCTGTTGCTCCACAAATTCTGCTGTACGTCGTTCTGTAATGTTATGTGTATCTGGTACTTTAGAACTACGGTACTTTCTTTCAGATATCCTGTCTACATCGGCATACTGAACTACCGGATTAGCAATTATTGGTGGTTCATAACTTTCACCATAGTCATTAGGATCATAATTCAAAGCCTTCTTAACGGCTTGCAATCCCGACTCAGCTTCGTCGACTTCTCGCTTCATAGAGAGGACGTTTCTCTCTGCTTTGAGTGTAGCTTCGCGGTGCAACAGTTCTGCCTCCTCTTTGGCATATTTAAGTCGTGTCTTTGCGGTTTCCAGTTTCACAGTTTGTTTAAGAATCTCTGATTGAGCACTAAGTGACGAGTTTCTTGTTGACCCAGTATGACGGGAACTATGATGGGAGCTACGACTTTTAAGAGTTCGTTCACTATCTTGTTTGGATCTACTAGGTAGCAATTCACTAAGATGTTGTTTGACGACGGATATTTTGGCCTTTAACGCATAGAATGACACTTTAAATGATGCATGCTCGATTTCACTTTCTTTTGTCCTATATGATTTTAAGAAATCAAAATATGTGTTAGCTTCTTTTTCAAACTTTTCTGATAGTTTTGAAATTTCATCTCTGTACGTCGACGCTGTGGAGAGGTCCACCACTGGATTATCTTCTACGTCTAGTATAATAGCGTCGATATCTCTCTTAATAGTTCTAATAATGTATTGATGTCGTTCATTAGACTGTTGGAAAAGGTGATCTCCATCAGATGTAAGTGTTCTAGAAGTTCTTAACTCTCTTTCAGAAACGGATTCTGACTGTGACATGTTGAATCTATCTTGGGTTTATGTCTATAATGTAGATTTTTCACTGTACTGATAAGTCGTTGAGAGATCAACAGTTTATTGGTATACAGACCCCCGGAGAGGGTGAAAAACTGAAAGTACAAAATAACAATCATAAGCATACTATTAAGGCAACACTTATACAATAAATGTCAAATAGTAGTACATTCACAAAGAAAATGGTTATACAGTTCAATACAAGTAACTCTTGTACACTACACTTCGAAATACAACATAAATATATCAGAAAAAAATTGCACACACGTATCTAAATATGCAAGAAAATTGAAAGTTTGCATTTGTCATTGACTGTACTCTTCATACCACGCACGATATAAATTTTACACACGTTGAGACTGTGCGGGACTGTATTTCTAGAAAATTCGAGCGTGACCCTTGTCTACATCAATAAAACACAAAAAATAAATCCTAACATGTGGGATTGACAAATAATGAATGGAATTTAAGGGGGAAATGCATACATAAAAAATACAATCAGTACTGTATATTCACAGCAGCAATATTTACTCATGTCGTGTGTAAATGAACACCAATAATCAAATATGAAGATGCATAAAATGTATAATTAAACAATATGCACAACGATATAAAAAATGAGCACAAATATAAAAGGTTAACTTACTCTAGTGGTGGATAAAACTTCCAAGTAGAAAAACAACGTGTTTCAGTTTTGACAATAATCGAGGGATTGATGAGACTGGGGAATGAAATGATAAGAAAGGGACGACATGGTCAATTCGGCACTTAGTCAAAACAGTACAAAGTCCATGTAAGAGGTCTTGTGGTTAAGGTCACTGTATATTGAAAAGATTTCGGCAAATCATCAAAATAAAAGCATTTATAGTATTAATTGATGGACAGATATTTGCTTAATGTCCAGAGGCAAGACCGATGCATTTGCAAGTCAAGAAAATTAAAATGAGTACTGACCCTGCTTTGTATTTTGTACTAGACCGACATGCCGACCCAATTTTGAACGTGCAAGAACACAAGGTAACAGTTTGTCTTACAAGAGATATAAATCAGACTCCAGGCAGACCAATCTTTGCTCTTACTCCTTAATGCTGCGTGATTGGCAGAGAAGCAGAAAATACCAATTTTTAAGTCGTAGGATTGACCCAGTTTTAACCATGACCTCCTACACTCAAGGCCAGCACAATAAAGAAAATATAGTTAAGGCAGTTTTTATAGTAATGTCATTAGTAATGATGTGCAACCTTTCAATCTTGCTCAATTTTTAATGTACCACTGTTACCTTTAGAAAAGGGAATTGAAGGGGATTGATTTTGTTTTTACATTTCATATCAATTTCCTGGCAATGAGAAATAAATGCTTCAAACCCAGGAATTAAAGGAGTTGACAGGAAAAGTAAGAGCCTTGAATTTTGAGTCATATAAGTTCTTCCCTAGTTCCCATGCCGATAACGTCTCTTTTCCACTATTATACGAGGTTTGATTCTGTACCTCAGGGACGTTCTTCTTGTACACGGGATGACAGCGAAACGGGAAATAATTTTGTCGTTGTAAGTACTAGAACAAACGCGTATTTTTGTTGTGTTATTTTCAACAATTAAAAGAATATTCCAACTCAATCAAGAAACCGTCAAAGAGGTAGAAAATATGGGCCGAATGTTGTTATCTGCTTGATAGAAGAACATGACTGTTGAAATATCGGGGTTGTTTTGCTTACCTTTCTTTACGTTTAAAGTAAATTAAGTAAAAATTCTCCCATTAACCTCAATTTTAACCTACACTGCCAATGCAATGTCTGAAAAGTTGGAAGAAAACATGAGAGATTTACAACGACAAAGTGATACAATTAAAGGGATAAAAAAGTAACGAGCGGAAATTCCTGATGTTGTTAACATTCAAGCTGACTGTGTATATAATAATACTATTTATTTTTGCATTGGGAAGACCCCTTTTCACCCAGCAACCCAATTTCCTTACACTGTAGCTGAAAACGAGACTTACAAACATTGTATTATAAACACCTTACCAAAATCTAAACTTTGTTCAAGAAAACTTATATGCTGGTCTGTGCACTGCAAACAAAAACATGCAAGACAATATATGTAATAAAGAGCGGTGGGCAAGAGAGTGCTTCGATTAATTGAAAACAGGACACAGCCAGTAGTGCTTACAGAGCAGCAGATAGTTTGTTCCAGGAAGCATTAACTTCATCAACCCCTGTTCATTTTCGTGGCATCTAACCATAGAAAACTTGTAAATAATCTGTCCGCAGTATGTCACATCATGCCCGCTCGGTTAAAGGTGCAGAGAACCCGACTCCAAAGCTTGCTTGCTTCTGACATTGCAACCCGTTGTCATGTGGATATGTACAGGCTAATATCAGATACCACAAGTACCTGATGTAATCAAAACTATCATATGTTTTCAGATGCCATGGTGGGCTGTTACTGTTGAGATCACAAAGATTGTTCCCTATCTTCATTTGTTTGTTCTAAATCTAGAAAGTCTCATTCATTGATTGAGAATAGTGCATATATAAAGAGGCGTAATATTGCAATTGAGTTTAATGAAAACAGTGAAAATATTCTGCGCCAATGTAATTTTCTGAAATATGACATTCTCTTTGACAACAAGCCAAAAAGAAAAAGTGATAACCACAACTACTTAATCACAGATTGTTCCTACACTTAATGATAAAAACATTAGGACACACAAGAAAAAAAAATATTTCAGTTTAAAAATTGGAATGATTGTAGAGAGTCGTAAATTTTTCTGCGGGATTTTTCTTGATCGTATTTACTTAATAGTTCAAAATAGCTCAGCTTGTGATGTCTTTTCGATTCTTGGATAACTACTATGTAATAGGTTTCAAAGCGATTGGTTTGCTTAATCCAACCAAGGGGTTTGAATCCATCAGCCAAGGTTGTAAACAGTGCGGAATGTGTAGTTTTATTAGGATGAAATTTCAATAGCAAACATTAGAATTGTCACATTCTGCATTTTCAGCAACTTTGCTATTGGTTTTTAAATTGTATTTTCTCGCTAGTAAGGACCAGTTTTTATACCAGCCCCTTCAGATTGTTCCTTTATTTCATGAATGAAGCTTCTCTGTCAAATTCAGTTTAAAAAATTTACTTGATGTTTTATTTTGGTATTTTTCCACGTTGTTCTTTATTTAGTTGATTAAGTACTCCCTCTTTTGCATCCTTTTTATTTGCATAACTAGTTGCCAAACGGTCTCTTGTGCGTTTAATAAAAGACTGTCCACATGAAAGAAAAAACGAAACATCTGCTCCAGGTGATGTTCGGGAAACTTTTAGTGTGTTCCGGGTTCCTCTCCTCTTTTCAAATTCTGTTTTTTAGTTGATCTAATTGTCGAATGAGAGACTTTGACCTAGTATTAGATTTGATTTTAAGTTGGTCCTCGACAATTGACTGTACTATTTTTACAAAGTTCTTAACAGATTTAGCCCTCTTGTTGTTTGTGACGTGTTTTGCGTGATGTAATTGTCAAAACTGAATCTGTTGCAGCGTTGTACAAAGTGAGAATTGTATGCATCACCGGATGACGAAAAATTCAGTGATGAATATGAGAGGTGTTGCACTGTTTACAGTCTTCCAACGTGTATTCCCATGTTTCTTCATTGGGCAGCTTTTGTTTATTCGTCAGCAAAAAATCAATCAATCAATCAATCAGCGTGACCATCGCGGTTCGGAGTACCATCGCGGTTTCGAGTCCTACATATATACCTGTAATTAACTGATAACTGATAACCAAACTGAAAAATATAAAAAAAAAAAAGAAAACCGTCGTTGTCTGCTAGGCAACCTGATGAGCCCTAATAGGGCGAAACGGTTTTGATTAAGTATTAAATATTAAAATATTCTTTAGAAATATGTTTTTTATTTATACCATGCATACATGAAATGCCAATAAAAATAAAGTTCTTTTTCCCGCATCTTCATTATTAATGCATTATAGGCATGTTTTATAGTAATCGTTGTGTTATGATGTTTATGTATCTTGCATGCTGAGGGCCCATGCTTGTCAATGAGACAATTATCCACCTAAGATCAAATGAAGTGGATGTACATATGAACATTTCAACACGTAATAAGTCTTCAACAATGAGAAAAACCAATACCATATAGTTGGCTATAAAGGGCTCTGACATGAAAAATATGAAAATTTAATTAAAAGAAACTAACGACATAATTTAAGACAAAACAAATTTTGAGAAACACATTTGACAGACATGAACCAACAACAACCTATGAACTAGACTCCTGACTTGGGATGGTCACATATAGAATGTGGAGGGGTTAAACATATGTACAGGTGCCCAATACAAACAGTCCACTTATTCTTTTGTATAGGTAAAAATTGTGATATAAATGACACATACATGTATAGTGAGGTTAAATGTATCTAGGGCGGTTGGGCTCTGTACAGATAATGGGCATGACTACCAACAAAAACAGTTGAAAATATGTTGTTTAATCATTTATATTGTCATTTCATTTTAAGAAATACAATGTATACAATATAAAGCACTGTTTCGCACTATAAGGATGGTTTTTTTTTAGTACAGCAGTTTTTTTGTACTTTTCTCTTTTTTTTTTAATTAGTTACCATATATATATATATATATATAGCTACATGGACTAAATTTGTTTTTGTTCATTTTTTTCTTTCTTTTTTTTATTTTTTCACTGTCTAAATATCTTTTCACAATAAATATATCATTCAGAGACAGATACATATTTAAACTCTAAAAATGTCACTTTTTCCTGCACTCCTTACAGAACCACTGGCCTTTTGGGATGCGTTTAATCCTTGCACATTTAAGTGAAACCAGACAAAGGGACAGTTTGCATTATCACATCCAATTACGTTGTCAGCTTCTTCATTATATGGTGTTTTACAAGTACATATAATCAAACTGTCATCACTTGTTGTGATACTCGAACTTTGCTGTTTGGGTGTCCTAGTAGTCAGGGTAGTGGCTGCTTGAAGAGGTGACATTTGCTGATTGGGTGTCCTAGTAGTCAGGGTAGTGGCTGCTTGAAGAGGTGACCTTTGCTGGTTGGGTGTCCCAGTAGTCAGGGTAGTGGCTGCTTGAAGAGGTGACCTTTGCTGGTTGGGTGTCCCAGTAGTAGGGGTGGTTGCTTCTTGTTGAGGCCTTGCGTAAACCTTTCCAATCAACTCAGGAAGAATAGCCTTCTTAAAGAAAAGTGAACTTCTCTCAACCATGTCTATGCAGAAAATATTGTCTACAGTAATTCTTTCTTTGTAAAAGTCTGCCTCTGTTCACACTACAAAGTCACAAGACTGTACTTCGGCTACCATAAGTTGACATTGAATCTGGTAGAAATAAGCATGTCCTTTGTCCAAGTGTAAATTTCCATCTGTAATCTTAAGACAGTCTACCTCATCGCTTATTTCTGCTGTTCTCTGACAATAAGGACACTTTATTTCCACCAGAATATCTTCACAACAGTCACATGAAACTCTTCCATCTGGGCTGGCTCCCATGAAAGGATATTTAGGATTAATCAGAAGTCCACTGTCATGCCACTGAAAGTTAATGCGAGTCTTAGACATGGTGTTAATGTAGTCAACCTTTGCATCTTTCTTATGGTCACATCCCCATGTAGTTGCCTTCGAGGTGAATGTCTTTGAAATTAGATAGCAAATGTCTTTAATTAAACTTTTTGATGGTTTATCAGTCCTACATACCCTCTTGACACGAGACGCAGTTATTCGCCCAATTCTGAAGTTG